ATATATATATATATCGTCACAAACAGAACTGCCCGGTGAAACCGTAGGCAGAGAGAGAGAAGAGGACAACAAACGAGGGGCTGTGACAAACTGTTTTGTCGGAGTTTCACCGACTCATCATATATATATATGCTCAGGAACGTGAATTATATGGCGATAACCAGACTCTGCATCCCCCACAGGATAGTAATTACACTCGACATGGGGGATTCAACGTCTTTGTTTTGGAGACTGCTTTGATAAGGCGCCAACTTGATATGCATCGTGCCCCTTTGGGTGGCGACCCGGACCGCTGTTCACACGTTTGTGCCTATATTCTACATACTCCTGACCACTACACCGCTCTTGTCCGTGCCTCTGGTTCTTGGGAATTATGAAATGGCGGTGCTATGGTGCAAACTATTACTGCCATCTGTGATCTCGTGCGTAATTACCCTAACCTGCAACTGTTCCAGGTCATTGACCCTATGGGTACCACGTGTACTTCCATGCCCGCCTCTACGCCTATCTCTGTGCCTGCCTCCGTACCTGTCTCTCTGCCTGTTTCTGTGTCTGTCTCCTTCCAGATTACTAACTCTGTGGGTACTACGTGTACTTCCGTCCCCGCCTCTGCACCTGTCTTTGTGCCTGCCTCCACACCTGTCTCCATGCCCGTTTCTGTGTCTGTCTTCGTGCCTACCTCCATGTCTGTCACCGTGCCTGCTTTAGTCTTCATTCCCCCACATGCTGCACTAACACCTTGTGACCTCCTTCTTTATGAGATCACCGACACAGTTACACTTGGTTGTGAAAAGCATCGACTTTGTCGACATCACTACAACCGTATAACTTTTCGGGCCCGCTGTCGGCAGGGATGCCACCTATATCCGGATTGTGAACATCCTCTACATCCAGATGCAGTATGTCCCATCTGTGCCTGCGGGCGCTATAGGGAATGTGCACTTAACTGTGATGGTGAACGCCCCACAATCGTCATGGCTTGCAACCGGCATGCCCTCTGCCGTGCATGCTTCAGAGGTATGGTTAATGCTAACCGCTCTGGCTCGTGCTGTGACGAAGTTGTGCTGTGACGAAGTTGCTTACCTGAACGGGTTTCGTCCTGTAGATCAGCGGGAAGGCTGCTACCATCGCCTGCATCCTTATGACAGTTGCCCTATCTGCTGTGAGGGTCTTACTTAAACGTACCTTGCACCCTGACAAAAATGTGAAGGTGCGCTGAAAAGAATGTACAAGAATGTGCAAAGGTGGGGAGCACTTCACTAAAACTGCAAAACTGTGAAGAATGCAGTAAAAGAAGAACATAAGTTTGTGTCATCTTACTTTGTTTGTATCCTGCACCCTAACACCCTCAAAAGAAAAGTCCGAGGGGTGAAAATGAAGATGAAAAATGAAGAAGGAAGTGCAGGTGCGCTGAAAAGCGAACGTGGTAGACTCTTCACAAAAACTGCAAAACTGTGAAAGAAAGAAGAATGCAGTGAAAGAAAGAAGATGTTTGAGTCACTTTTTTTGTTTTTTTTCCCTCTGCCTATCGGTTTTCCTTTTCTGCTCCTCTCTTCCTTGTGTTTAACACCTGGCTCTTTCCCATAGCGTGCAAGTGGGCTGTTATGGCATACGGGGATGGGGGCAGCTCGCGCTCAACTTCATCGACGTGGCGAGCCTTGGACGTTAGAGGCATAGTGGAGGAGGCGTTAAGAAGACTAAGAAACCAAATGATTTCAAAGTGTCTTTATTTTTTATTTTTATCCTTTGATTCAGTGTATATTTTTTTTGTAAAACACTGAAAGAAATAATAATACTGTGAAACAAAAAATAAGAGGACACTGTTTTGTGTCATTCTAGTTTGTCTGTCTCTTTGCCTGTCTGTCCTTTCATTTTTCTTTTCTTCGCATCTTATTTCTTCTTCTACTTCACGTGCTTACACTCTTAGTCAATAGTTCTGTGACAATATATATGTATATATATATATATATATATATATATGTATACCTGCTCTTTTGTGGTGACCGTTCTTCCTTCATTTTGGCTTGCAATCGACATGCCATTTGTCAGGGTTGTATGGTGGGCATGCTCAATGCTAGTTGTTGTGGCAATTGTTGCTCTGAGAATGCTCACCTTGGTCTTCGATGTGTTCATCCATCTCATCCTTACAATATATGTCCTCTCTGTCGTCAAGGACAAACACATTCTTGAACTTTTTCTTATCCTCTTTTGCCTTCATCTTTACTCGGCACTTGGTACTTTCCCTTACTTTCCTTTTATAGTTCTTTATTTGTCAACTCTTCATCTCTCCTTTGTGTTTATCCCTTCCCCCTTCACTCTGCCTCTTTCTCACAACGTACAAGTGGGCCGTTGTGGTACACGGGGATGTGGGCAGCTCGTGCTCAACTTCATCAACGTGGCGAGCCCTGTATGTGAGAGGCACGGTGAAGGGGGAGTTAAAAGAACTTAAAGAATGGGGGAAAATGATTGGTTTCGGTGTGCCCTTCATGTTTGCCTTGTTTTTTAACTTTTTATTATTGTCGTTTCTGTCGCAAAGTGCGCCGTTTTAGTTTATAGCTATATGACAACATTTATATCACAGTGTCACAATATATATTGACGAGTCGGTGGAACTCCGACGAAACAGTTTGCCACAACCCCTCGTTTGTTGTCCTCTTCTCCCTCTCTACGTACGGTTTATCGGGCAGCTTTGCTTGACTATATATATATATATATCGTCAAACAGAGTTGCTCGGTAAACCGTACGGTCTGTATAGTTTTCCATTTGGTGTGGGTGAGTGATAGTCTACTTTGATTTTGGTTAAGGTAGATTATCATTTATAGTGTAATCAGTGAGGGGATTCTGCAGACTATTGAGGGTTCAACCTCCTGATGAGTCGGTGAAACTCCGACGAAACAGTTTGCCACAACCCCTCGTTTGTTGTCCTCTTCTCCCTCTCTACGTACGGTTTATCGGGCAGCTTTGCTTGACTATATATATATATATATCGTCAAACAGAGTTGCTCGGTAAACCGTACGGTCTGTATAGTTTTCCATTTGGTGTGGGTGAGTGATAGTCTGCTTTTACTTTCGTCACAGGTACCTTGAGGGCAGTGGTTGGTGCCCACCTCAAGGTATCAGTTGCCGGGCAGTTGTTGATGCTTAACCACAATCGGGGCTAAGGTGGATATCACTTACAGTGTAACCAGTTAGGGGATTTTGCAGATTGTTGAGGGTTCAGCCTCCTCCGATGCGTCGGTGAAAGTCCGACGAAACAGTTTGTCACAACCCCTTGTTTGTTGTTCTCTTCTCCTCTTTGCCTACGGTTTACCGGGCAGCTCTGTTTATAGATATATCGTAAAACAGAGCTGCCCGGTAAACCGTAGGCAGAGAGGGAGAGGAGGACAACATATGAGGGGTTGTGACACAAACTGTTTTCGTCGGAGTTTCACCGACTCATCATATACTTGATCTCAAACGTAATTCATCTTCTCTTCGTGACCATGCTCCTCGCACTGTTGATTTCACAACTATGTATACGAATTTCCCACATGACCGTATTTGTCATAATGTATCAAAAGCGGTTGAGGAAGCCTATACATATGCCTTACAACAACACACACAGGGGCACACACATCCTCCTACCCTTAACATGATTGTTAAAGGGCCCCGTCAAGGGGAGTGGACGGTTGATACCGGACGGAACACCTTGACCGTTTCCCAAATTCTTGAACATCTTCATTTCATTGTCACAAACACGTATCTTTATGCAGCGGACGACACCTTGCGACATCAACTGATTGGCATCCCGATGGGGACTTATTCTGGTCCAGAGATAGTTAATTTGACGTTATATTGGGATGAGGCTTGATTTGTTGATGACCTCCATCGGCGTGATCTTCGCGCAGCTCAACGGTATGCGTTCACATACCGCTTGATCGATGATGTTCTCTCATGGGGACATCTGCCACCACCGTCAGAGCACTATGGCCTCGAATGGAAGGAGACCACAACGTCTGATGGCTCTTGCACCGTCTTGGGTGCACGTCTCCAAGTCTGCCTTGACGGTTCCCTGCGTATGAGTGCCTTTGACAAAGCAACTGAATGAAATTTCCCTGTTATTCGTTATCCTAGTGCTACGTCTAACGTCCCTGCACACCAACGGGCGGGAATGTTTACATGCCAGCTTACCATGTTTGAGTATGTTTGCAACAACTGGTATGATTTCAAAGCTGCAGCAGCGATATGCTCACACGCCGCATGCTTTTTCGTGGGCACTCTCCAATAACGCTTGTGAAAGGATGAACTTCCTATATTTGTAAACGTCAACACAGGTACCCTGCGCATGTGGCCCGCCTCTCCAACTGGTTCCACAACATGCCTCGATGGTCTATTCACCACCCGCTTTCTCAGATATCCACATACTATCCTCGGACTACGCCTGTCACAACCCCTTCTTCATTACCGGCGCCTGTCACATCTATCGCAGCGCCTGTCACAACCCCTTCTTCATTACCGACATCTGCCACACTTATCACAACCTCTTCTTCATTACCTGCGTCTGTCGCACCTGTGTCCTCATCAGTCTTAGTAGCCCCTTCCATGCCGTTTGTGACCCTGGCTGCCCCTTCTCGGTTCGCAGCCTCTTCCTTATCGGCCTTGGTTGCTTTTACAATTGATTCCGCGGGAGCAACTCGACCCGCAACTGCTGTGTTCGCCCTTGGTCTCGGTGTGTTCCTCCATGGCATCTGTGACCACTGCAGCTGCTGTGTCGCCTTTGGTTTTAGTGTGTTCCTCCATGGCATCCGTGGCCACTGTAGCTGTTGTGTAGCCCTTGGTCTCGGTGTGTTCCTCCATGGCATCCGTGACCATGCTTGCATTACCACCTGCAAAGTCCCCTCTTCGGGTCTCACCTACGACTGCCCCCCCTGTCTCTGCTTCAACCACTTCACCACCCCTGACTTCATCACCCCTATCTTCACCCCCCCCGTCTTCACCGCGTTTATTTCCCCTGGTTTTATCTTCGTCTGTTACCCACCTTTCGAATACTCTACCACCCCTGTGTTCACCACTCCTACCTTCGCTGGTTTTGTCTCCATCCGTTACCCCTCTTCCTAATCCACAAACCACTTCGTTCACACATACTTTGTCATCATGTTCTGCCCCTACAGAAAGCCTACTTCGCCGTCCTAGATGCCGACTTTGGCCTACTTCCCAACCTCAACTTACTCCCCTTTCCTCCCATCTCTATTCCTGGACGAAGAAGAACCCGTTTATTCTCCCCACCACGGCCATTCCCAACATCCCGTCCCCATCTTTTGCCGCCCCAGACATCCTTACCATGCCTGCAACGCTTTTCGGCTGCAGACCTTTCTGCAATACGGCAAACACAAAATAGGAGGGATGATGGCGAGGGACCATCCGAGGATGAACTTGGCAAGGGGACTGTAGGAGATTCGGTAGAACATCCGCCTGACCAGCCCCCACTGAATTTGTGCGGCCTCGCTGCTACTAACATTTGCCTACAAGCCTATCGTCGGGAACCATATACTCACTCTGATTTCTTGGCCATTGCTTCAGATCTTGATGCTAAAGAACGTGAGTCATATGGCAATAACCAGACTTTGCATCCCCCACAAGATAGTAATTACACTCGACATGGGGGATTCAATGTCTCTATTTTGGAGAATGCTTTGATAAGGCACCGACTTGATATGCAACGTGCACCTTCGGGTGGTGACCCGGACCACTGTTTGCACATTCGTGCCTATATTCTACATGCTCCTGGCCACTACACCACTCTTGTCCGTGCCTCTGGTTTTTGGGAATAATGGAATGTTGGTGCTATGGTGCAAACTATTAGTGCCATCTGTGATCTCGTGCGTAATTACCCTAACCTGCAACTGTTCCTGGTCATTGACCCTATGGTTACCTCGTGTACTTCCATGCCCGCCTCTACTCCTATCTCTGTGCCTGCCTCCATACCTGTCTCTGTGCCTCTTTTTGTGTGTGTCTCCTTCCAGATTACTGACCCTATGGGTACCTCGTATGCTTCCGTCCCCGCCTCTGCACCTGTCTCTGTGCCTGTCTCCACAATTGTCTCCATGCCTGTTTCTGTGTCTGTCTCCGTGCCTACCTCCATGTCTGTCACCGTGCCTGCTTCAATCTTCATTCCCCAACCAACCAGAGGTCCGCTACACGATCCTCGGCCTGTGATGGATCGCCTACATACAAACACGCTTCCCTCAAGAAGCGGAACTCTACCAAAGAAAAAGAAAAACCTGAGTAGTCTAGGATGCGGAGCAAGCTCCATGCTGAGTCCATGCGATGTAACCTAGGCTAGAAAATGTCACAAAACAACAATGTCACAGCTAACAGCCTAAGTAAAAGCAGAAGCAACTAACTAGCATACATGTCTTAGGAAAGCAAAAGCAACTAACTATCATATGTCCTAGGAAAGCAGGAAGTAGTGACATTTGGATCCTAGAATGTTGGAGGCACTAGCCTCAGTCTGGTAACAGCTGACTAGTGTATAAGTCCTAAGAACACCAAAAGCAGAACAACTAAATCCTAGAAATGTCAGAGGCAGTAGCCTCAGTCTGAGAGCAACAAGCAACAACAAGTCAACCATATGTCACAGGAGGGGTGTGTCGCAAACCAAAAGGTGGGATGATCTCTGAGGGTGGCGAATGCAGCCTAGGGGTCGAAAACTCCTAAGGGCATCCACACATAGATAACAGGGAGACACATGTCATCAGGCTCAATGAGGGTAGGGAACTGGGAGTGAACAGAACCAATGACCCTAATAGATAGACCATCAGGGCAGGTAAAGCTCGACTAAGGGTGGAGCCTGGTATATTGGGCGCACCTAGATGAAGCATGCGGGGCTGCCTAACTAGGGCGTGAGGGCCGACAGAGGGTAGGGGTGATGGGTAAGGGAATCATGCAGATGACTCCTAAGGCGGGGAAGTC